GGCAAAGAAGAAGTCAAACTTTCACTTTTCGCAGACGACATGATACTCTACATAGAAAACCTGACAGATTCTACCAGAAGCCTACTAGAACTGATCCATGAATTCAGCAAAGCTGCAGGATACAAAATCAATGTACAGTAATTGGTTGCATTTTTATACACCAATAATGAAGCAACAGAAAGAGAAATCAAGAAACTGATCCCATTCACAATTGCACAAAAAAAAACAAGTTACCTAGGAATAAACCTAACCAAAGATATAGGAGATCTGTATGATGAAAACTATAGAAAACTTATGAAGGAAATTGAAGAAGACACAAAGAAATGGAAAAACATTCCATGCTCATGGGTCAGAAGAATAAAAATAGTTAAAATGTCATTACTACCCAAAGCAATCTATACCTTCAACGCAATCCCAATCAAAATTACACCAGCATTCTTCTCAAAGCTAGAACAAACTATCCTAAAATTTATACAGAACCAAAAGAGACCCTGAATAGCCAAAGTAATTTCGAAGAAGAAAACCAAAACGGGAGGCATCACTATCCCAGACTTTAGCCTCTACTACAAAGCTGTCATCATCAAGACAGTACGGTATTGGCACAAAAACAGACACATAGACCAATGGAAGAGAATAAGAACTTGGAATTGGACCCACAAATGTATGGCCAACTAATCTCTGACAAAGTAGGAAAGAGTATCCAATGGAAAAAAGACAGCCTCTTTGACAGATGGTGCTGGGAGAACTGGACAGCAACATGTAGAAGAATGAACCTAGATCATTTTCTCACACCATACACAAAAATAAACTCAAAATGGAAAAAGGACCTGAATATGAGACAGGAAACCATCAAAACCCTAGAGGAGAAAGCAGGCAACAATCTCCTTGACCTCCACCACAGCAATTTCTTACTGGACACATCCCCAAAGGCAAGGGAATCAAGAGCAAAAATAAACTATTGGGACCTAATAAAGATAAAATCTTCTGCACAGCAAAGGAAACAATCCATGAAACTAATAGGCAAACAACAGAATGGCAAGAGATAGTTGCAAATGACATATCAGATAAAGGGCTAGTATCCAAAATCTATAAGGAACTCACCAAACTCCACACCTGAGAAACAAACAACCCAGTGAAGAAATAGGCAGAAGACATGAACAGACATTTCTCCAAAGAGAACATCCAGATGGCCAACAGACACATGAAACGATGCTCAGCATCCCTCCTCATCAGGGAAATACAAATCAAAACCACACTGAGATACCACCTCATGCCAGTCAGAATGGCACAAATCAGGAGACTCTAGATGCTGGTGAGGATGTGGAGAAACGGGTACCCTCTGACACTGTTGGTGGGAATGTAAACTGGTGCAGCCCCTCTGGAAAACAGTGTGGAGCTTCCTCAAAAAATTAACAGAACTCCCCTAGGACCCAGCAATAGCACTGCTAGGAATTTACCCAAGGGATACAGAAATGCTGATGCATAGGGGCACCTGTACCCCAATGTTCATAACAGCACTCTCAACAATAGCCAAAACATGGAAAGAGCCTAAGTGTCCATCAACGGACGAATGGATCAAGAAGACGTGGTTTATCTATACAATGGATACTCCATGGCAAGTAGAAAGAATGAAATGTGGCCATTTGTAGCAACGTGGTTGGAACCTGAGGGTGTTATGCTGAGGGAAATAAGTCAGGCAGACGACAATTACCATATGTTTGCACATATAGGAGGATTAGGGGGAACTTAATGGAGGATCATGGGGGAGGAGGAGGGAAAACATAGTGGGGGAGAGGGAGGGAGGCAAACCATGAGAGGCTCTTGAATGCTGAGAACAACCTGAGGGGTGATGGGGGTTGGGGGGAGGAGAAGGGGATGATGGTCATGGAGGAAGGCAGTTGTGGGGATGAGCACTGGGTGTTATATGGAAACCAACTTGACAATAAACAATTTAAAAAAAAATCCAAAAAACAAACAAAAATCTATAAATAATCTACCAAATACACAAGGAACATAAATTTAGATAATCCACTGGAATAAATAAAAATCATCTCTGGACTATGAGGTTATATAAACTAGGCTGGGACTTGCAGGAACACAACCTGTATAAACTTCAATATTTTGGAAAATTATGTTGCTGATGGCAACACTTCAATACACACTACTTGAGTTGTTGATAAGCCTACATCAGGCACATTCACAGTGGTTCAACATATCAATGCCAGCATTATTTAACCACTTCAGTACCTTTCTAGTATAGTCACGGACAAGTGTTTATATAGCAATGTAACCACTACTAATTACAAATTACTTTTACTTCTTCTTTCTATTCAGTAAGGAAAACGTGCTGACCTAAAAATTATCAATGTGCTCTTGTCTAAATATTTCATTTCAGGATCCACAAGGCTCCCATGTTTGTTAGGGTTCCATACCATTAGATGAGGGTTATAATTTTTGAAGGTCTTTCTTGATTTTTCTTCTGATGTCTTTAGTCTTCTTTCTAAATTCATAATGAAAAAACTTAAATTTGCTTGATTAATCTTCTTTTTAAGGTACTGTTTTGAGGGCTGGAGGTGAGATCAGGAGCCACAGCATTCTGTACCAGAATATTCAGTTTATTTCTATAGGTTCCCTTTCTCAAATTTCTATCTTTCCTTATTTGATTGTTCCTAGTGAATTTCTGGTTGCTATTCTTTTTTCCCCTAATGTTTATTTTTTTTTTATTTTTGAGAGTAAGAGAGACAGCACTAGCAGAGGAGGTGCAGAGAGAGATGGTGACAGAGGATACAAGCAGGCTTTGTGCTGACAGCACAGAGCCCGAAGCAGGGCTCAAACTCCCAAACCTTGAGATTATGACCTGAGCCAAAGCTGGATGCTCAACTGACAGAGCCATCCAAGTGCCCCAACTGGTTGCCATTCTTATTACTACTATTTGTTTTATCATTTTGTTAGCTTTTGTGGATAAGTTTGTGATTCTTCTTCGCTCTGTTGATCTTGACAGTCTTAAAAAATAATTTTGTTTTTGAGTATAGTTGACACAGAAGTACAGTTTCAGGTATACAGCACAGTGGTTCAATGTCACCATATATTATGCTATGCTCACCACAAGTGTTAGCTACCACCTGTCACCACACACTATCACAGTATCATGGACTGTGTTCCCAATTTGTGCCTTTAATTCCCATGTCTTACTCATTCTGGAACTGGAAGGCTGTATCTCCCATTCTCCTTAACCCACTTTGCCCATTTGGCAATCCTTTTTTTTTTGGTATACTCTTAGGAAGGAGTACTTTTCTTTTCCTTTGAAGAGGCCATCCCAATAAAAATTTTTCTTAGAATAAAGGGTGAGTCCTTCAATTAATATGTAATGAATGAAAATTTACTACAAGGTTTTCTAATCTCTACTGTATTATTCTTCTTGTAGCTAATCAAGTATGAGAGTCTACTCAGGATCCATTATCACGTATCATATCACTTTCAAATATTACTTATTATGTATCAAGTGATGACAATATGCCAGTCACTGTCCTAAGAGCTTTACATTTATTATCTTATTAATGCCATAACAATGCTATGAGGTATGTATGGTCTTCACAGGAAAGTGAGGTACAGAAGAGTTACATACCAATTTGCCCAACCACACCGCTAGTAAGCAGTTAAACAGAGATTTGTGCCCTGGTCATCTGGTATCAGAGCCCAAGTTATTTATCCACTACCTTACTGCCAACCAAGTTTTTATGTCCCTTCTTTCCCCTCAAGGACTAACTGCTTCACTATAGATTTTTCACTACTTTTCTTTACAGACTACTCAAATGGTCAAGAAATACTTAATTACTCAAATAAGAAAGACTTAACTGCTTATTTCACTGTCTCCCTCCATCTCTTTCAATGTGCCTTCTCCTTTTAGCAACAAGAAGGGAAAAACTAAAACCCCAAATATCATTCTTCCTCATTTCTGAGTGGGTAGAGATAATTACATTCTATACCTTAAAACAACACTGTCAGCTGAATAGCTTTATTTTGTGCTTTCTAAGCCAAACGTCCCTAATATCACATTTGCTTTGATGGGGAAATCTTTTGTAACGATGCACGAGAATCAGGGACCCCTCTTTCTCACTTCTGGCAGAAGCAGCTCTGTGTTCCCCAGAAGCTCGGATCATCTGTACCCTTTAGGACCCTGCCGGCCCTGGGAACCAGGATACAGCAGAGCTGTTCAAGCTACCTGTGTTCCTATCTGACGTTACTATTTTCTCTCTTAGTCTGTCAGGTTTGTGACAACAAATTAACAGGAGGTCAAGCATATCAACAGATTATACAACCCAGGTAGCACTCCTGATTTAGACCGAAAGGTAAGTGGATATAATATGCTAACACAGAACAAGTTATTATAGTTTCGGATACTATGACTAATGGCTAATGGTTTTGGCACTATTTTGAGATAGGCAGGCCTTCTGCTGCACTTCAAGCCATACCATACAAATAACATTAAAAAATTCTTTTAGAGATACTAAGGCATGTAAATAAAAATATCAAGATAATGCAAAGAGAAACACAACCTTGAATTTCGTTTAATGAAAACTGGCAGGCATTTTTTTAGTAGTCGACTGTAAAAGAAGAGTGTAACAGAAACAGAATGATTGTGGGAATTTAAGTCTGTTCATGTAGACAACAATTCTTTATGGCAGAATTTATGTATATAAACTAACTCAGTGTGGCAAAGAACCGTTGTATGCTATAGATATAGAAGGGTTTCAGAGAGAAACGTACAGATGATAATTAAATATGGATAATAAGCATAAGTCATTTGTGAGGAAAATGGTTGGAGAGAGAGCAAATTTTTAAAATATTTATAAAATAAAAAGGTCAGATCTGAATTGGATTTGTTTAGAGAAAAAAGTGTTCAAAGATTAAGAATTCACTTCAATTATTTGCACTTTCACAAAAAAAGATGCAATGGTATCATATGAAAACTGAGCTAATATAGTGAGAAAGTTACTTACGCTGATGACTGATGAAGTAGTTGACAAGTTTAAACCTTCAAGATCAGCTATCAAGCTTGGAGAAAAAGCTGGTGTGGGAAGTGCAACTGGAGTGGATACTGGGTTAACTATAAGAAAAGGTCCAAATTAGCAAATGTGCATGAAAATTTAATTCATATTATTAAAAGCAACATTTTTACTTTGTTAGTAAATCTAAATTACTTTGACAATTCTATTTAACATCATGATCTAGTTAAGTTTATTATCAAGTCATGGCAGTTATTAGTCTTAGCTTTCAGAACATAATGGCAAATCCTGAAACAAAATAAAGATAAAAATACCTTGAGCAAGAGCTTTTTAAAATTTTTATCTCATAACACTAACATTTATCACCCACTAACTTCACTTTAAAAAAAAGGTAAAGAAACATTTTTTCAGCTAAAAAATAACAACAGCTTTTCAAGAGTTCTCCAATAGAGTTAGAAGTCTTAAAAGGCTATTTTTAAATCTTTTCTCTATTTTTTTTTCCACTGTAATAATTACAGGGGCCCAGGCAACCTAACTCCTTTCTAATTATACTGTGTCAGCAAAAACTACATACTAGATAGAAATTTTTTATCCTAAAACCACTATATACGTGAGATCAGTTACCTAAAAATCTTTGAAAAAAATGCCAATCTCATCCTCCCTGGCTTATGGCTCTTCAAAGGCTTAGAACTGCCTACAAGGTCAAAGTCCAACTCCTTGACTGACTGAACAAGGTTCTCTGTGCTGGCTCGACACTGTCCAATACAACTTTCTATGATGATGGAATGTTCTCTAGCTGTGCTGTCCAATATGGTGGCCACTAGCATATATATCTAATGTGTTCTTAAAAATGGCTAGTATGACTGAAGAACTGCATTTCAAATTTTAATTAATTTAAATTTAAGTAGCTACATGTGGCCAGTGGGCATCATATTGGGCAGCCCAGGTTTTCTCCAATTTCATCAGTGACTCTGGTGTTCTAGTCCTACCAATTAGTACTTCCCAATATCCTGTTTCATGTCTTTGAGCTTTTTATATTCTGTTCTCTTTGCCCAGAAGGTTATTCTCTGCCTTGTTTACGTTGCCACTTCCACCCATTAAGATACGACTTAGAAGGCAAGCACAGCCTGACTCACCTACACACAGCTTATATGTGCCTCCTTTGTTCTACAGATATACTTAGACACACTTCTACAACTGTACTTCTCTCGAAATGTAAATTTGTGTCTTTTTATTTTTTATTTCTACAAGTCTGCTAACACATTTTTAGTACTTAGAAACTGCCTGACTGCTGAATGAAAAAAAAAATTAATGTGGAAAATGTTTTAGCTGCCAACAAATTCTCACTCCAAAATAAGACCATAGAGGAAGTAACACTTACTTAATTTGAAAGGACTTTGCAAACCATTTTTTTTCTCATTTAGTCTCACAATATCCTGTAGTTATGCAGAAAAAGCCCACTAATTTATAAAGTAGGAATAAAAAAATGATATTGTCCAAAAAAGAAATTTTCAAAGGTTATCATAAATAAAATTTCAACTATAAAATAGAAAAAGCAGAGAGGAGACTGGGTGGAGGAGGGAACGGAGCCCTTGATTTCCTTCTTATTCTTTCAGTGTGTCTGAAACACGGCTACAAATCGCCAGGCTTCCTCAGACCTATGCTGAAGACCAATGTACAGTTAGCAAGTGTCACAGGGAGTTAGGGGGAAAAAGAAAGATCAATGGGGATATGGCAGGGGAAAAGTCTTCATGAACAGGAGGAAATGAAGCCCAGTTTTTAAGCGCGGGCAGGATTTAAATAAGAGGAAAAAAGAAGCTTGTAAAATCATAGGTGAGAAAATATTGTGAACAAAGGCTGAGAGGTGGGAAACTGGAAAGCTAAGGGAATTATATGTATCCTGTACACCAAAAGGAGCTGTTAAAAACTACCAAAAAGAATGATATATGTACTGCTGGATACTAGTATAAAGGACAAACGAAAGAATGAACAGTCAGGTTAGCAGTGGGGAAGAATTACAATAGTTTAGGCAAGACATGAAAAGGACTAAAGATAACAACAGTTGAGAAGGCAGAAAAGCATTTACGTTAAAGACACTGTAAACTAAGCACAGGAAGATTACGTCTTGCCAATGTCATAAGACATGTGAATAGAGGAATCGCTGGGGGAACAGGAACTGGTTCTCCTATCTTGGATCAAACTATGTTGCCTTTCCATGCCTTTCCAAAAGATCACTTTTTCTGGCACATTTTAAATGTTTGTTCATTTGTTCCTCTGTCCGTCCGTCTGTCCGTCCGTCTGTCCGTCCGTCCATCCATCCATCCATCCATCCAAAATATTAGATGCCCACCATGTAAGGAAAGAAACCTGAATAAAAAACAACCTCTGATTCTAACTATGGCTTGGCTAAAGACAGACGAAAAACATGTCAAAAGACAAGAGGAAAATTCATCCTAAAGCCTGACTTAAAAAAAAAAAAATAGGCTTTTAGTATCATTTCAGGAGACAGAGGCTTTGGCTAAAGAAATGATTATACATCTGTTTACAGATCTGGCAAGATAAAAGCTTGCACTAAAAGTTTATCCTAAATTGGATTTTGAAGTTAGTTGACTATCTTAAGCATTTAATTAATGTGTAAGAAAAAAAATGATTCTATTAGTTAAAAAAATATATGTATATATAAAACCTGGCATACAAATTAAAACCAGATATCATTTCTGGCCATCAAATTGGCAAAGGCAATTTTTAAGTACAAAACTCAGCATCAGTATGGATATAAAGAATCAGTATTCTCCAACTAATACTGTGCAAGCTGGTACAAGCTTTGGCAATTTTAGACAACAGAATTCTTCAAAGCCTTTATTCTTGCAATTCTACTCCTAGAGATTTATCTTAAGGAAACAGTCATGGAGATAATGCAATAATATACTTATGATGATGTGTATTGCTTCATTGATTATGAAGGCAAAACATGGAAACAAGTTAAAGTTCCAACAATGGTAAACCTGTTAAACAGAATTTATTACAACAATATAAAGGATAACTATGCAGTCATTAAAAATTAAATTGTTAAAGAATATTAATGGCATGGAAAGGAATGTGCATGATAAACAGAGAAGCAAATGCTAAGAGTATCCCAGCAAGATCAAATTTCAGGGAGTGGAGAGAAGGGGAACTGCATATAAAAAGATCTGAACTGGCATGCCAAAATGTAAATTTAGGTTTCTGGATTACAAATCAATTTTCCTCTTTATTTTTAAAACTTTCTGCAAAACACTTTTTTCTTTACTGAAATACAGTTGACCCTTAAACAACAGGTCTGAAATGCGTGGGTCCACTTACACAGATTTTTTTAAGATACAGTATAATACTAAAAATGTATTTAATCTTCCTTATGATTTTCTTAATAACACTTTTCTCTAGATTATCCTAAGAATATGGTATATAATACATATAGCATACAAAATAGGTGTTAATTCAATGTTTATGCTATTCTATCAGTAAGGCTTCTAGTCAAAAGTAGGTTATTAGTAGCTACATTTCTGGGGAGTCAACAGTTAACACGTGGATTTTTGACTGTGTGTGGGTCAGGACCCTTAAACCCTGCATTGTTCAAAGGTCAATTGCATAATTATACAATTATTCTTCTAATCAAAGTTTTGATTCAAAACTTAAGACTACATAAAAGTTTTAGTATATAATGGTGTAATGTGACTTTATTCAGCTTGTTAAATGTAATTTGCTGCTGCATCATTTTGATCGATCATCTCCATCACAGGTAACACCCTATATAATGTATATCATGGTGCCCAGCAGAGTTTTAAGTGCTTTTACATTTATCGACTCATTTAATCCAGTTAATATTGCTAGAAAGTATTACTATTATCCCAATTTTATATATTAAAGGAACTAAAGCACAGAGAGATTAAGGAATTTGTCAAGGAATTAAGGAATTTAGCAAGTTACCCAGCTAGTAATTAAAACAACTGGAATCCAAACTCAGACACTCCGGCTCCACTGTCCTCTTCACTCCACTCTACTGCCTCTACTATAATTTATTCAACAATATGATATCACAGACGTTAAGATTTAGGTAAGGCATGATTACTGGTGGCTGATAAAAATTTCAAACAGACTTCACCATTAGTTGTAGCAACAGTATAATCACATAGGTTTGTATTTACTATAAAAGAACACCAGAGTATGATTGTTGCTTTCTGATCATCCCACCAAGATCACATGATATAGGATACTAAAAGATATCTTCATTTCCAGAAATATAAAATACCCAAGAACTCCTAAGTGTAATGGGAGAAACAGGGCTCCTTGGGTAGGGACAGTGTTGTATCCATTTAGAATCTCCAGCATATAGCAGATTACCTAGATCACAGCTAGCATTCAGTAAATGCTTTGTGAAAGAAGACACAGATGAATTCAGTACTTGTAGTTTTCCTGGTATGCAGTGCATACTGAACACATAACCTCTGTGGGTTATGAGGTTCCTCTTAGATAAAACATAAGGAATGTGTCTGACCCTTCTTCAAATTAATCTAATTCTCAGAGCTGAGAACTAAGGCTACTAGAGAGTAACTTTTTAGTTTCTGGTCAACAAACTATTTGCCATAGACAATGGTGAACTACTAAAGGCTAATAAGCAGCACAAATGAAGTCAGTTATCTTAAGAACCATCATCAACAAAGATTTTTCCCATCACACTCCACTTATCTTTTTTTTTTAGGTAGGCTTCATGCCCATTGCAGAGCCAGTGCAGGGCTTGAACTCATGATCCTGAGATCAAGACCCAAACTGAGACAGAGTCAGATGCTTAACTGAGTGAACCACCTGTTCACTTATCTTTATCTACTTATCTTTATCTCTAAGCTGAGATCATAGTTCTTTTTGTCTCCCTCCTCATTTATTCACACTTTGTACCTCTCTTGTTCAGGTGTCTGTGCCCCAGATTAGATTTTAGTCTCTGAAAGAGAATGACTAAATTCTAATATATACCTGTTACTAGCAAACAGAAAAGGGTATCTAGCAAAGTACCCTTACACTTAGCAGACAATCTGCAAATGCTTGCTGAAGTGACTTGTTAAAGAGA